GTTTTTATATAAGTTGTGAGCCAAGCATTGGCATCATAAACAATCAATAAATAAACTTATGCATCAAGCAAATTGTAAATAAACATTTTTCTTACGTAATTGTTATTTAAATGTTGTAGAAAAAGTTTGTATCGTATATGAACAAAAAAAAAGCAATTTTTCTGTCAAGATGCTGTCTTATTATTTTATTGAGAACATTCAATATTTTGTGCAAAAATAGTTCGATATAAGATTTCATACATTCTTCCATTTCATTATAAATCATCAAATAATTAATTCATTAAAAATACGTTTACATATTCGTGCTCATGTAAACGAAAAAGAAAAAAAATTGTCATTCGAGTTCATAATCTGCTCTTTTCCGCTTCTTCAAATTCGCTGTAATTTCGGACGGAAGTATACTATTAGTGCCCATCTTTAACCATTCTAGCAGTCGGATTTTAGCTCTTCTTCCATTTAAAAAAATATCTCTTTCAAGTCGTGGAAGTTGATTTCCTTGTGTTGGGTCTGATACTGGATTATGGGCCCAGTCCATAATTAATCGAAAACGGGATTTAAATGTCTAAAAATAAAGTTTATTAATATTAATATTTAATCCAACAGCAATGAGAATATAAGATTAAATTTAATAAAATCAATACTACTGAATTTCTTATTTATCACTTCCATCCATATATTTATCACTTAAATCGTAATTAGAAAATATTATGTTCTCGATGTTATTAACATGAAAGAAGATTATTGCATTTGCATTTACTTGTTGGTATTAACAATTCTTTAACTCATATTTACCTGCAACAAACTCTCTGTTATTTGTTCTGTTTCTCTGTCACCTAATTTTATCACATGCATGCCTAATTCGTAAAAATAAGGGTTCCATTTGTTTAAAACAATAACTTCTGCGTCTGCCTCCAAAATTTCCCTATCAAAATATTAAAACATAAATGAATAAAGAAAACAACATAATAAATAAATGAAAACGACTACAGAATATTAAATATTGTAATTACTTAAATTTATAAAGCTTTCATAGTAAATAAATAATATTTTTAAAAAATTAAAATTCAGCAATACAAAACTTCAACAAAAAATGTTTAATATTTTAAACAAACCTATATCCTTCCTTGAATATTTTTGGTATATCAACACTAACTACAGGGTTCTGTAAATTTTTTAGAGCTTCTGCTAACCATAATGGGAATTCCACTTTTATCCCAACGTTCAAATTAGTGGATGTTGAGGAATTATCCAGAAAACCTTAAGTAAGTATAAGTCAAATTTAAGAAAAAATAATTAAATATTTTATAGTAATGCCAGGAGACGTGTCTTTACAATACAATTGTGTTATAATTGTTAACGAACGTCCTACTATGTACTTTGTACTATGTAATTCTTGACTCTAAAGAATAGGTTATGTAACGTGTTTTAAATCGGATTAAGACATTATTAATGAACATGTTAACGCTAATGAAATAAATGTATTACAAAAACGAAGACAATTTTTAAAATGTACATCACAAAGCTAAGGATATATCAATGATACGATTGTGCGGGAAATAAACGTAGAACTTCGCATAAACAAATTATTACCTAATCCCGGTAGTTCGACTTCAACTTTGCAAGTTATACGTTCTTCGCTGGATAAAATATCATTTATGGCAAAATAATCGGGTGAATAACTTTGACAACATGCCATTTCGGGAACACAATAAACACGGGAACACTATCAAATTATTCATCTGTCATTTTGCAGTAATCCTAATGATACTAAAGACATCATCAGAGAAACTGTGCAAATTGTAACTAAATACATTTTACAACAATATCAGACTGTTCATGAAATACTTATCAGTCAATATTGTTGATTAACTGCATTAATATTGTGTTTTTCTTGTTTTTTCTTTTTAATTTAATTAGGCGCCATCCTCGGCTAAACGCTGAAACTTCTAGCCAATTAGTACAATCTTTCATTCTCTAGATGGCGCTGTCGTGATCTTTGTGTGATATATTTGAAAAATCAAACGTTATTATTCAATGAAATCAGTGCAGAAATGTTGAATAAAGCAATTGTGTCTTTCTTACTTATTTCGACAAATTTAGCAACTATTTCTATTCCTATATTACGTTCGTCGCAGCTATAATAATTCAAATTTCTTGGGTTTCAATCATTTTAAATAATATTCCTATTGAAACTGCCAAATCGACAAACTCCACGAAGCGAAAAGTAGAGAAAAGTGATAAATTAACATACATCGCTTTTTGAAATTTCCTTTTATTTCTTAATTGATGTTCCCTTTTGAGTTTTCTAATTATCAGGTTTTACAAAATTCTTATCATTCTTTTCCGCAACTTTACCAAACTATGTGAAACAGACTCGGTGATTATCGCTCAGGTACACACGACTTTGTTGGTCGCCACTGAGAGGATTAAATATGAAAATCTGACAATCAAGTGCTCGAAAGAGTCACGAGTTCACACGAGAACAGTTAATCAATTTGATTCTTTTCATCGTGTGTCTATGAACGCTTGAAAATTGATAACAGAGCGATAAAATTTGATTTCGACTTCAAAGAAACGAATAACGTTCGCAACAAGCCCGTCTGTTATCGCACGCGAAGGGATTAATTTTATCAGGAGAGTTGCCCGAACGATCCTGAATAGATGTCGTTAGATGTCGACACAGGGGATTTTAAATATGCAATTATTATGAGTAAGTGTGTCGATCTAAGTTTCATGCGATTCACTTCGCAGAAGGGTAAAGTAAAGCTGTGTTTGCGCAGGGCCGTTGCGCAGTCAGTCAAGAACAGTCCACGGGCGAGAGTAGTGGGGCTGCTCAGAAGAAAGATGGCCGCCACCAGCGAGGAACGGAGTGTTATGGAGGTTTCTCAGACGAATCCCGGGCAAAGCCAGCCCGTCGATCCTCTAAAGCTACTTTATCCGATGGTAAACGAGGAGGAGACACCGCTGCCAAGGTCGTGGAGTTCCAAGGACAAGTACACTTTCATCGGCCTCTCGAAAAACAACCTTCGTGTTCACTACAAAGGTACGATTTCGATTTGCTGCTCCGATCCCATGCCACAGTAGATATTCCCGTGACCACGGAGATTGATCTGGCTCGATCTCTGCTGGCTGGCCCTGTCGAAGGATCGCGGAACGATCCTGGCCAATCGGATCCGATCGTTGCCCGATACGGACGAATCGTTGACGGAGCTTGTAATATCGATTGAAAATGGCAGGGCTCCGTTTCGCGTGTGTCAGCGACCTAAACAAAGGAATCAGCTGATCGTGGTCGTGCTCTCCGTTCGACTTTCTCCCGATTGCCTCGATTCACTGTTGTGTTTCTGGATTTTCCACGGGTATTCTCCCCGTTCGTCGAGCCTCCCCCCCGTAGGATACATGGCGCTTGCGGGCTGATTTTTTCTGGGATTGACAGAAAAAATGAATCTGCGTAGGGGAAGACGCAATGACAATGACAGCTGCGATGTTTGAACAGTTAGTTTTCTCTTTCCTTTTCTCGCGCATCTCTCGTCTCTTTTTCGTACTCGTTCTCTCTCTCTCCCCCCTCTCTCTCACTCTCTCTCTCTCTCTCTTCCTCTCTCACTCCTCTCTCTCTCTCTCTTTCTCTCTCGTTCTCCTTCTCTCCCCCGCTTCCTCCCTCCCAGTGCTCCATCTTCGTCGTAGATTAATCTCCAAGTTTACATATTTTACATTTAAATGTTCGACTTGTTAGTTTCGTTGCACGTGGCGCGTGACGCTGCTGAATATTGCAACGTGTCGTTGTCATTGCACGGTTATATTTATCAATAAAATTGTTGGGAGTCGAACGCCAGAAATTCAACGTTCCACGCTCGAGGGCTTATCGCGTCGTCGACGCTGTAAACAATTAAGAATAGATTTTTCCGTCTTAATGAGTGTTTTAGATCCAATTGTTCTGGTTAATCTATTTCGGAGGTTTATCGCTTTTGAATTCGACGAACATTGAGTCTCGCGGAAGGTGATTATAAAATTTCGAAAATATGTGATTAAGTTGCTGTTACGCATTGTTAATTTACGATTTGTGTTCGGACAATGTAAGTGTAAATTTTTCTCATGACTAGATTACAATTGACATCATAGCTCAATTATTTATGTTGTCTTACAGTTTTCATTTGATTAACCAAAGTGTGACAATGTTATAGTACAGTTTTGTTGCATACCCACTCTTTTACAATGTCTTCATT